ATTAAAACAAACTAAGCTAGTTATAAATCTAATTGTGGTTATCTATAAATTATTGTAGGTTACATTGTGCAGTTGTCAAGTTGAGTTGTCGCAATTCGTAGTTAAAAATGCAATTAATTTGGCTTTGGTGGTGCTTGGATGAGTAAAATCATATAAAAAAGTAGTTAAATATAGGTTGCTTTACGGCCCAGAAGAGAGAGTATTCCTAGCGGATAATAATCTTCGCTTTGAAAAGAATTTATATAAAAGAAATTAAAATTTTTTGTGAACGTAACGTACTTTTTCTTCCATTGAGGCATTTGGCATAATTTCATCAAAATGAAGTTTTGCCCTCAAAAGGGCTTTTACATTCGAATTCGAATTTTTGGCATAATTATCTTTTTATTTGTAATTAACAAGTAAATATTATTGTCAATTTGACAGTGTCAAAGTATTTAATTAAATTCTTTTGCAGAAGTACCATTTTTAAATACCAAAAATACTAAGTCAAACTGGCATAAGCCACCACCCTACTAAAAAAACACGAGTCCAGATAAAAAAAAATGAACTGTAATATAGTTATTTTTGATGCGAGATTGTAAAATGCCACATTTGCATTCGAGAATAAAGATTTTTAAGTTAATATTTTTTAATAATATTTTATATACATATCTTTGTATAGAATATACCTGGTTAAACAAATGCATTTTATTTTTAATAGGACTCTAATTGACGGAATTTCATAAACATTATAAAAAATCCGCATAAGTCGGTTAACCTTTAGGCTCTGTAAGGCTTTTGAGTACCTTATGCGGCGCGACAACTACAAAATAAATAAAATGTGATCTTAAACGGAAAACAAGGCAAACAAAAAATAAACTTATCGTGAAAATATGCAGCAGCAGCGACCTCAAAAAGGAAAGAACCGCCACTTCGTTACGGTTCTAATTAGTCCAGGGGCATGGCTTGCTGCTGTTTCTGCATTTGCAGCTAGTTTTCCTTACGTCTTTGCCAACTTAAAACGAAATTATGTCGATTTTCTTTTATTTTGCGAAAGTTGCACTGGCATTTAGTATTCTTTGCATCTAGGAAAACGTTTCGGCAGTCGGTAGAATAATTAAGAAATAAATTTTTACAATTGATGCAAAAAATAGTCAAGATCCAATTGAGTACGCGGAGAAAATAAAATACATTTTATTTATTTTATGTGGTGAATTCTTTTTGCCGTTAGCAATAAAAATAAATCATTAAATCAAATTTAAGTTTTTGGTATTTTTTGCTACTTTTGGATTATAATTTATTGAAATGGTTTTTAATATTTAAAATGTTATGTTATTAATTTACGCTATAAAAATATTAATCCCGGCGTTAAGTTTAAAACTGGTATTTATAATTTGTTTATAATTAAAAATATGTTTTTTTTATTATTAATATTACAGTCTATAAATAGTATATTATGTATCAAGTTTGATAAACGCCATTTTATATACGAATTTAATTTAGGCACGAGCGAGCTTGCGAGCGAGTTCTTAAATTAATGAGTGTATAGAAAAGTTTATAAACGAGGTGCATACTATACTTTTTCTACGACAAAAACTTATTATTATCTTAAAATGATTTAAATCAAATATTTTTATAGAGCGCCATCTATGAAACAATGGGGGATCTGTGTGTCACCGTCAAATGCCAAATTTTTGTATTTTATAAACAGATTATAAAGGTTATAAATAGACAGTTTTTTACAGTGAAAGTAAAGAAAATGTTTTATGAGCACTTTACAGTGGAGTCCGTGCCCGAATTTAAGTTATAGTTTACTGCCGGCGAAATTAAAAGGTCAGTATAATGTTCATATAAAATTTTCAAATATTGGCGTTGAGAAACTATTTAATACTTTTGTATTTTTGTATTGAGATAATAAAATAATTTTCACGTTTAGTATTATTTTACAAGAAAGGCACTTTATTTTAACGATTGTATGACATTTGACAACTGTCAACTAACTTAAAACTAACTTCAGCCCGTGACTAAAAACCTGTTGCTAACTTCAGCCCATGACTAAAACGCCGTAAAGCCACAACTTGTCAATGTGTATTTAAAAGGTCATGTTATAAAGATATAGGTATATTTTATTAACAAAAAACTCAAAAGGGAATTTTGGGTTAAAATAGGGAATTTTTAGAACCGTCCTGGAGAATTTTAAATAAAATAGGTTGGCAACACTGAGTACTTTGACCACAGAAGGCAGAAGTCCATAGATTAGATAAAGTGGTCGCAGAATTCGCACTTCACAGATTTCGTGTCGCAAAGTTGTAGTTTAAAGTAGGTCAATCAGCCATCGTCTGTGGCATCTTTTATTTATATAATAGTATAGGTATTATGTATCAAGTTTTATAAACGCCATTTTAATTACGAGTTTTATTAGGCACGAGCGAAGCTTATTAAAAACGAGGGTTTAGATAAGTTTATAAAACGAGTTGCATACTAAGTATACTTTATCTACGACGTAGACCAAGAAGAATTTAAAGCCAATTATATTTGTTAAACATTTGACATCTGTCAAATGTCAACGGAATTAACCTCACTTTTCTCTAATATACAATATAATATAATGTAATAAAGCTAATTTCAGCCCGTGACTAAAATGCCCAAAAGCCACTACTTATTGCCAACTTCAGCCTGTGACTAAAGCGCCATAAAGTCACAGGTCGTCAATGTAGAAGTAGATAATAGTATATTATGTATCAAGTTTGATAAACGCCATTTTATACACGAATTTAATTTAGCCACGAGCGAGCTTGCGAGCGAGTTCTTAAATTAATGAGTGTATAGAAAAGTTTATAAACGAGGTGCATACTATACTTTTTCTACGAGAAATACTTATTATTATTTTAAAATAAATTAAATCAAAAATTGTATAGAGCGCCATCTATGAAACAACAGGAGAAACTGTCAAATGTCACATTTTTACATTTTATAAACACAATTATAAAGGTTATAAATCGAAATGTGTCTTGAAAATTGACAGTTTTTCACAGTGAAAGTAAAGGAAATGTTATATGAGGACTTTACAGTAGAGTCCGTGCCCGAATTTAAGATATAGTTTACTGCCGGCGAAATTAAAAGGTCAGTACAATGTTCATATAAACTTTTCAAATATTGGCGTTGAAAAACTATTTAATATTTTTGTATTTTTGTATTGAGATATAAAATAATTTTCACATTTATTATTATTTTACAAGAAAGGCACTTTATTTTAACGATTGTATGACATTTGACAACTGCCAACTAACTTAAAACTAACTTCAGCCCGTGACTAAAAACCTGTTGCTAACTTCAGCCCGTGACTAAAGCGCCGTAAAGCCACAACTTGTCCATGTGTATTTAAAAGGTCACTTAGTGTCATGGAAACATGTACGATAAAGGGCGTTTTAAAGGTGGGAGTAGAAAAATACATTTAACTTATTTGAAAAGACAACGTATGTCGTAAAAATAATTGTTAAAAGAATTTCTACGTCATTAGCTGTATTAAAGTATAATATCGTATAAAATTTTGTAGAATTTCACAGAAATAAAAAGATTATGTAAAATCTTACTAAAATTGAGTAAAACTAGTACCAGATTCAGGGCCATATCACCCATTAGGCAGGAAAGGCAATTGCCTTAGGCGCCACGTAGAAATAGGCGCCTTGTCACCAAGCAACTTAAAAAAAAATAAAAATTGTTACCAAAATGTTTATTTTTTCCAAAAATAAAACAAATAAACAATATACAATTGTATAACAGAATATTTTGTACTGTTTTTATTATTTTATAAAAATTTACCTTCCTTTGTAATAACGAGGTGTAAAGCCGACAAAAATCGTGCCGCAAATTCACTTCTGTATATATAAACATATCTTTAGGACTCTTTAAACTATTTCAAAACCTCCGTATGTTCCAAGCACACGGATTCCTCTTGCATCGGATACCCGCTGTGATGTGCTGCTCACCCTAGCGGGTACGAGCTACTAGAGGAAACTGCTGCCGGAAGGACTTGGGTGTTTTCGCGTTTATTCAAGAGTGGCACTTCTATGTGTTGTGTGTTTGGTGATAGCAGTCTGTGTTCGATAGTTAAGGTTGATTTAGCCTGGCTTTTAAATTAAATTACGTTACGTTAGATTACGTTACAAAAATGCTGGCTAAATCCACATTTAGATAGTGTTAATTTTTCTGTTTGTTTTGAGGTATTTCTGAAATTTTAATATTAAACTAATTACAATAAACCAGCAGTACATCTAACATACAATACAGAAAATTAAAGTTGATTTTATTTTTTTTAAATACTTACTAATGACATCTTGCAGAAAAACGCAGTTATAAGTCCTAACACTTTTTATTTACATTATATTTGTTATTTTTGTATGTTTTTTATGTATTTTTTTAATGATAAAAAGTATTCTAATTCATAGGGAATAATTAGGTTATAATGATCGGGCGCCCTTAAGCTAACAGTTTGGGGTGGCTTTAATAAGCTTTTTTAAAATTTGCCCCGGGCCCCGTAAGTATAGTATCTAGTTATAGGAGCCAAATTTTTAAGTGCCTAAGGCGCTCAATTGCCTTAAGCCGGCTCTGACCAGATTCGTTTAATGTAATACAAAATGAATTTATTGGAATCTCTTGTAAATTTTCACTTATCCCTTTTCAATAATTTTAATTTTTTCAATAATACAATAAAATCACATAAAAAAATAAACAAATAATTTTCATAAAAATAATTATAATTTTGCAGTCAAAGTAAAAAAGTCGAAAAAATTACTATAACTTTAACTTTAACCTTAAATAACTTTTAAATCAGTGAATTTATGAAAAAATCATGGGAAAGCTTTTTTGTACAGCGTTCAATTTCCTATAAAATACTTTCAAAATGTTTTTTTCATTTCTTCATTACCTACCTACATAGCCTAATGAATCAAAAACCAAAGTCATCAAAAAACAAGTGTGAAAACTAAGGCGAAGGGAATATTAAAACGACTACTACTTACTCTGCAGACAGTCGGCGTTGAGCAGGTCTTTGCACTTCTCGTGGCACTTGACGCCGCACTCGGTGCACCGGACCCCCTGGCGCGCGATGCCCCACAGCAGCCCCTCGCACTCGTAACAGTAGGTGGGCGAGGTGGCGGTCCACGCGATGAAGTTGTGCGGCGTGGTGCTGCTGATCGGGTAGATCAGCGCTTGCAGCGTCTTCTTGTAAACGTGCATTTTCTAGGCGAGGCGAGAAAACGAGCAAGACAGAATGGTTGTTATATTAGTAAAGTGGTGGTGTTACAGTAATTAACAGCGAGTCCTGAGGCGTTTCCTTGGTTTGAGAATTAAGATATCCATCTGTATTTTATTATATAGGGTGGAAACCTTAACTGGAATAAATTCTGTATTTTGAAAACCAATTACTTTTTTAAAAAATCCAAAAACAGGTCAATTTATAAATTTATCTGGGTAAATTGTAGTTAATCTTAAAAATATAAGAAACCACCCTTTGAGGGTGCAACCAACCCTAACTTTTTTTTTTCAAATGCAAAGGTATATCATTTGAAAGCTCTTTTTAATAGGAATTCATACAAATATGCAATTTTTAATTATTTTATTTTTGTACAATTATAAATAATAAAAACTTCATTTTATGATAAATATGGATTTATTATAAAATATGTTCAAAATAAGCTCCTCTGGTTTCTTGACAAAATCCTAGACGATTATAAAATTCATTTTTAACCTTTTCCAACATCTCAGGTAATATTAAAGAAGTTTCGTGTCGGATACTCTCTTTAAGATCTTCAATATTAGTTGGTTTGGTTACATAAACTTTATTTTTAAGGTAACCCCACAGGAAAAAATCCAACGGGGTAAGGTCTGGAGATCGGGCTGGTCACTCAACTGCACCTCCTCTACCAATCCACCGATTAGGAAATATTTCATTTAGGTATCGACGAACGGGTAATGCGTAGTGCGGTGGAGCTCCATCTTGCTGAAACCAGACTCTGGTAAGTCTGGATCATTCTCGTTTGGAAACTGAACTGCAAAATATGGTATAAGATCTTCTTGAAGAAAAGTTAAGTTCCTTTCACCATTTAGAGTTTCGTTAAAAAAGGCGGGACCAATTATTCTATTAACAATTATTCCAGCCCAAACATTTACCTTTTGTGGATACTGTGTATGATTTTCTTCAATCCAATGAGGATTGCTGTCGTTCCAATATCTACAATTTTGACGATTAACTTCACCATTTAAAGTAAACGTACTTTCATCAGAAAATAGTATCCAATCCAAGGAAATTTGGTTATCATTAATAAGGTTCATCATTTGCTCGCAAAATTCAATTCTGCGATCGGTATCATCCCCTTATACGGATGCATTTTTGAAGCATGTACTAACTTCATTACAGTGGTGTGGCTGAAATCGTTCTCGCGAGCAATTTGTCGAGCTGAAGTAACAGGATTTTCTTGGATTGCTAATACTACATTAAGCTTCGTATTGTCTTCAACGATAGGCTGGCGTTGTCTATGAATATTTCTTACATGACCCTTTTTGTGATATTTTGCTTCTACTTTACTAACAGTCCCTTGGCAAATGTGAGGCAATTCTGGATGCGTTTCGTTAAATAATCGTGCAACTTCTGTCTGATTTCGACGTCTATCACCAAATCCAATCATCATTAGAATCTCAATACGCAAAGTTTCAGTTAAATAAGACATTTTTACGGTCAATTTAGAATACGTTACTTGCAACTAATTTTAAAGAACTAAAATACATTCTTTCGGTGAATATACAACGTTTTTGGTGGATATAAAAAAAGTATTTATTTCTTTAAGGTACCAAAATAAAATAATTAAAAATTGCATATTTGTATAAATTCATATTAAAAAGAGCTTTCAAATGATGAATCACTTGATATACCTTTGCATTTGAAAAAAAAGTTAGGATTGGTTGCACCCTCAAAGGGTGGTTTCTTATATTTTTAAGATTTACCACAATTTACCCAGGTAAATTTATAAATTGACCTGTTTTTGGATTTTTTAAAAAAGTAAGTGGTTTTCAAAATACAGAATTTATTCCAGTTAAGATTTCCACCCTGCATGTTACTTTTTTAACTTTAAAATTGTTGTATTCCTTTAAAAGAAAAATGGTGGACTATTGGGTTAGCAATCAAAATAAAGGGTAAACCATTTAAATTTGAATCGGCCATTAAAAAAACGAATGAATATTGAACCTTGACATTTAAGAATAAAACAAAATATCATTCAAATGACCGATTGTTATTATTAGTTCGGATAGGTATGTATTTTTGTATGATTTTAAGGTTTTTACTATTAGTTTTGGAGCATAGTGCATCCCGTGGGATTTTTTGTTAAGGGGATAAGATAAAAATAAAGAATTTATTATTATTATTATTAAAAATGTGTCAATTTTTTATGACGTCATTAATCCGATACCTAACTGTTATTTCAGGTATGCGTTTATAAAATGTCGCATAATTTCGAAATTAGTGGTCCTATTAAAAAAAAAAAATATTTAAAACATTTCTTTTTATCTCAAATGGTTAAGAAAATATTGGCTTTTAATAATAATAATAATATATATTTCAACATCAACAGGCAATGCCCAATTACAGATGAGGATAAAATCCAAATACACATAATATTACATTAAATTAATAATTATAGTAATAACTTTCTCCTAAGCGAGTCTTACATTTAATCTATTATTTATATTTAGACTAATACATCTTTTCCTAAAAGCTTTAAAACTGCCATAAAAAAAGTCTATTTCCCTCGAAACCATGTTACCATAGTAGCTGAAGAGGTACAAGGGTGATGTCATATACACATTTACTCTTGAGCTTGGGATAAAAAATATATCATTATTTCTAGTTAAATTGTTAACTTTAAATTTTATGTGTGATAATAAGTAACTATTATCTAATTCGTTATGTAGCAACTTGTATAACGTAAATATAATGGCTGTAATCCTTCTTGATTCTAGTGTTCTGTATAGATAAATATTGCATAAGTCTGAATAGTTAGCAAAATTGTCATACACACCATACTCCTTATATTTAAGATATTTAAAAAATCTTTTTTGAACTTTTTCCACTGCATTAATATAACAACTATAATAGGGATACCACACAATAGACCCATATTCCATCCTCGAACGCACTATGGAATTGTATAGCACTTTAATGCTGTTGTTATCAATAAAGTCTCGCGTATTCCGCACAATAAAACCAAGTTTTGATAATGAAGATTTAATCATTATATTTATATGTTCTTTAAAATTAAGTTGATTGTCCACAATTAATCCTAGGTCTTTAAATTTGTCCACTTTTTTTAGTTTTGTCCTATTTATGTAATAATCTTGGTTAATAGCACGCATTTTTTTTGTTATTGTCATTGAAGCACATTTTTGGGCGTTTATCATAAGTTTATTTTGATCACACCACTTCACGATAAAGTCAAGATCTTTTTGCAGTAACTCACTGTCCCTGATAGAGTTAATTTCTTTATAAATTTTTACATCATCAGCATAGATCAAACATTTTGACGATATTGTGTTTTCTGGTAAACTATTAATAACTAACAAAAATAAAAGAGGTCCCAAGTTGGAACCCTGGGGTACTCCTGAACTTTGAGTGAAACATTTAGACTTAAAACCATTAACTTTAACAAATGCTTCGCGGTTTTCAATATATGATTTTAAAATATTTACTAAGGTAAAACTAACATCAACTGACATATTGTTATATTTTTATATTTTGCATGGATTTGGAGCCATTTTGCAAGAAATTTGAACTTTTATGATCTGTAACTCAGATATTTTTGATTCGATTAAAACTATGTTTTTACCGTTGTATGCGAAATTTAACAACATTTCAAACCATATATCGGATTTGCCATACCCTCTCGATGCTGATTTAAGTAAAATCTTAAATTAAAACACAAAAATATACCGTCATCTAAGTGAACGGCCCAAATAAGAAAAAAGAATTAAGTTTTTTGTGTTTAGCGCACCAAAATCACCCTAAAAATCACCCTAAAAATGTAAAATAAAGTTTCTATTTTTTCCTTGTAAACCAGTGTAATAAATTATAATTAACAGGAAATGGTAATTTAATAGGTAATACTAAATATTCTAAAAGAAAACTGTTAAAATTAAGTATTTAGAAATTAAAAATGCTTTTAAATTTAATAAAATACTATATAAAATTAAATGTAAACACAAAAATATACCTTAAATTAAGAAAAACAACAAAAACGTATTAAAATCGTAAAATACTTTTGACAGTTCTATGTAAACATAAATTGATAAAGTCAAGGCACACTTAATTTATAAGCAACCAATGAAACTACTTAAATTTGCTAAAACAGTTTTATTTCACTGTTGCTAGAGGTTAAAAAAATTGATGGGCCATCAAATTTGACGGCCCATAATAGTATATTATGTATCAAGTTTGATAAACGACATTTTATACACGAATTTAATTCAGGCACGAGCGAGCTTGCGAGCGAGTGCTTAAGTTTATGAGTGTATAGAAAAGTGCATACTATACTTTTTGTACGACAAATACTTATTATTATCTTAAAATTATTTAAATCAAAAATTTGTATAGAGCGCCATCTATGATACAACAGGGGAAACTGTCAAATGTCACATTTTTACATTTTATAAACACAATTATAAAGGATATAAATCGAAATGAATCTTGAAAATTGACAGTTTTTCACAGTGAAAGTAAAGGAAATGTTTTATAAGGACTTTACAGTAGAGTCCGTGCCCGAATTTAAGTTTTACTGCCGGCGAAATTAAAAGGTCAGTACAATGTTCATATAAAGTTTTCAAATATTGGCGTTGAAAAACTATTTAATATTTTTGTATTTTTGTATTGAGATAATAAAATAATTTTCACATTTAGTATTATTTTACAAGAAAGGCACTTTATTTTAACGATTGTATGACATTTGACAACTGTCAACTAACTTAAAACTAACTTCAGCCCGTGACTAAAAACCTGTTGCTAACTTCAGCCCGTGACTAAAAACCTGTTGCTAACTTCAGCCCGTGACTAAAGCGCCGTAAAGCCACAACCTGTCAATGTGTATTTAAAAGGTCACTTAGTGTCATGGAAACATGTACAATAAAGGGCGTTTTAAAGGTGGGAGTAGAAAAAATTATATAATTGTTTCGATACACGGTCATATGACAATCAA